GTCGACGGGCAGTGACGACGAGCAGGAGTTGGTGGTTTGACTGTGTGAGACGATGAGGGAGTTGGGCTGGTTATGGCATTTGTATGTGGGGTCGACGATGCAGCAGTGGTTGTTGTTGCTCAAGAGAACGAGGGGTCGTGGGTTATGGAGGTGCTCGCCGGAAGGGTCGTTTGGTGGTGGCGTTTGGACGTGAGGGATTGGGGGCTGGGGGCAGTGACGACGAAGGCGAAGCAGCAGTGTTCGTCGGATTTAATAGAGGATCGCTGGACTGGTTTGATGGAGCTAGGAGGAGGAGGAGTGGTCGTGTAGGCAGTGACGACGGGACTGGTGCGTGGTGGTTTGACTGGTTATTTGTTTGACGACGATGGAGGGAGCTGGTTGATTGACAGCAGGGTCCGGGTGGTTCCTGTTTCTAGCCGAAGAAGATGAAACTTTCTTTAGGGTTTTTCTAGGGTTTTTTTGAGGAAGAAGATGAATGAACAGTGCCCCCCTTTCAAAATTTGTCCAACCCCTTTTCAAAAATCCCCCCATTTCCCTATGTTTGCCCGTGCATTTGTAGCTCTTGCCAAGAAAAATGGACCCCAGTGTGTAGGGGTCCAAGATTTGTGTCCCCCATGCGCGGTGGGGTTCCCCGTGTGTTGTGTTCCGTCCGTGTTCCTCACGCTTGTCCTCCTTGTGTGGTGGACTCGAATTATTATGGGCTAGGTCCAAAAATTAGGCCTAAAAACGGGTAGTTTGAACCCGAATATTATTCTTTTGCCCGGACCCGAGAATAAGAACATGACATTGCTCAACTAATCCTATGTAAGTAAAATAACTACCAAAAATAAGACTAATATTTAAAACAAAACTATATCTTTTTTTAATATTTTCNTATGTGGCGAAACTCGTCTCGTTTTTTATTATTTAAGGGCAAACTTAAGACAACTACGATTTTCTACCAATGAAGTCATCCGAGGTTAAACAAAAGCAACAATTCTAATAGGTAATAATACCCATGGTAAAATGAAAAAAGCAATTCAACAAAGACGACACACAAACAGTTCATAGGAAATCCATATCATTTTTCCATTCCGTTTAAACAAATATCACAAGTTTGGAAATGTGTATGCACCTGTTTGAAGCATGAACAACAACCGAACTGGACCGACAACTATCGGAAACCTCTCCAACGACGGAATGTCGGAACCTCGATGTCAAGCTCAACGTACCGGACCTCGACTCAACTTTTTGGACTTTGGACTGGAACTCGACTTCAACACAAGGTCGAGCAGCTCACCTCCATGAATTCCGGTTCAGCTGGTGGGCGTGAGGATGGGGAAACAGCCGCAGGGCTGCTTGGCGTGAAGCTGACGGACTGTTTGGTTGACGACTGTGGGGTCGACGGGCAGTGACGACGAGCAGGAGTTGGTGGTTTGACTGTGTGAGACGATGAGGGAGTTGGGCTGGTTATGGCATTTGTATGTGGGGTCGACGATGCAGCAGTGGTTGTTGTTGCTCAAGAGAACGAGGGGTCGTGGGTTATGGAGGTGCTCGCCGGAAGGGTCGTTTGGTGGTGGCGTTTGGACGTGAGGGATTGGGGGCTGGGGGCAGTGACGACGAAGGCGAAGCAGCAGTGTTCGTCGGATTTAATAGAGGATCGCTGGACTGGTTTGATGGAGCTAGGAGGAGGAGGAGTGGTCGTGTAGGCAGTGACGACGGGACTGGTGCGTGGTGGTTTGACTGGTTATTTGTTTGACGACGATGGAGGGAGCTGGTTGATTGACAGCAGGGTCCGGGTGGTTCCTGTTTCTAGCCGAAGAAGATGAAACTTTCTTTAGGGTTTTTCTAGGGTTTTTTTGAGGAAGAAGATGAATGAACAGTGCCCCCCTTTCAAAATTTGTCCAACCCCTTTTCAAAAATCCCCCCATTTCCCTATGTTTGCCCGTGCATTTGTAGCTCTTGCCAAGAAAAATGGACCCCAGTGTGTAGGGGTCCAAGATTTGTGTCCCCCATGCGCGGTGGGGTTCCCCGTGTGTTGTGTTCCGTCCGTGTTCCTCACGCTTGTCCTCCTTGTGTGGTGGACTCGAATTATTATGGGCTAGGTCCAAAAATTAGGCCTAAAAACGGGTAGTTTGAACCCGAATATTATTCTTTTGCCCGGACCCGAGAATAAGAACATGACATTGCTCAACTAATCCTATGTAAGTAAAATAACTACCAAAAATAAGACTAATATTTAAAACAAAACTATATCTTTTTTTAATATTTTCCAAGATTAAAATAGCTACAAAATATTAATAAAACTATTTTTGTAATTTTCGTTTTTATATAAAGATACAATATAAAGTAATATTTTGTATTTTTTTTCAAAATTAAAATGACTACAAAACATTAATAGAACTATATATATTTTTTGGTAATTTTCGAAATTATATAAAGTACAAAAATAAAGTACATTTTTTGTATTTTTTCAAGTTTATGAAAAATACATAAACTAAAATTTATATATAGATTTTTGTAATTTTTCCTTTTGCGACGAAATAAAGTAAAATAGTCAAAATAGCTATATTAGACCTAAATTACATATTTATGCTAAAAATGTGAAAATTTTCGGGGAGGGTCAAAAATCACGTGTCTACACTTGGTTGTTAGTTTAGTGTTGGCTTCAATAGGAGTAGTAGCTGGTTTGGCAGCCCCCAGTCCAAGCTCAGAGATTAGCTCCAGACTGTACTTTCTTTGGTGCATTAGAATGCCTTGTTGTGACCTAGCAAACTCAATGCCAAGAAAATATTTCAGCACACCTAGGTCTTTCATTTTAAATGCTTGTTGCAGATTGGCCTTGACTTCTTCTAACATCATCAGATTAGGTCTAGTAAGAAGCATGACATCTACATACACCAGGATAACCATAGTATGTTCACATGTTCCCTTTATGAACAAAGAGTGGTCATGCTGGCTCTGCGAGAACCCAAACTTCAGTAGTGCTTCTGAGAGTTTGGCATTCCACTGTGTTGGTGCTTGTTTAAGTCCATACAAGGATTTTAGAAGTCTGCATGTTGGTCTGTTCTCCCCCTGACTCTAAAATCCCTGGGGAAGAGTCATATAAATCTCATCATGTAGATATCCTTGAAGAAATGTATTATACACATCCATTTGATGGATATGCCAATGTTCAGAAGCAGCCATAGCTAATATTGTCCTAAAAATAACCATTTTGACCACAGGACTGAAAGTTTTCTAGTAGTCAATACCCTCTTGTTGACTATATCCTTTTGTCACTAGCCTAGCTTTGAACCTTTCCACCTCCCCTGTAGCTTTGTACTTCACTTTATATATCCATTTACAACCAACTGGAACTTTGTCAGCAGGCAAAGGTACCACATCCCAAGTGTGGTTGGATTCCAATGCAGTGATCTCAGCTTGCATTGCCTCAACCCATATAGGATCCTTGACAGCATCTTCAATTGTAGTAGGTTCAACTATGGAAGAAAAAGCATCTAGGTAGCACTGATACTTGGGAGACACACCATCATAGGAGATGTAGTTAGCAATAGAGTAAGGAACAGCTTTGTGACTGGGACATGTCACAAAATCTTTCAGCCAAATATGAGCTTGCTTGGTCCGCAGGGATCTTCTCAGGCTAGTAGAATGTTGAACAATAGAAGTCAGCAAGGATGGCACACCTTCAGTGATATTATCCAGCTGGGCAGATGTCTCCTGGCTTGAGGCATCACCTACAGGACTCATATTGGAGGAAGGAGAAGAGACCTCTTCTGAGCTGTGAAACTCATGTAATATAAAGATGTAGTCTGCATCATAAGTAGAGGAATCAGAAGACAAAAATACAGGTGGAGAGGAATGAGACTCCTTAAAGGGAAAAGTATCTTCTTTGAACGAAACATCCATGTTGATGAAAAAACAGTTAGTAGAAAGGTCCAGTAACAATTAACCTTTTTGAGTGTCAGAGAACCCCATAAGGACAGAAGGTTTGGCCATGGGAAGCAGCTTGTCTGTCTCTTGCACTTGTTTGGCATAGCATAAACAACTAAGGACTCTCAGATGCTCCAAGGTAGGTTCCTGTCCATATAACAACTCAAAAGGGGATAAGCCATTGAGAACAAAACTTGGCATTCTGTTGATAATATACACAACTGCAATAACACAGTGACCCCAATACTTAATAGGGATATGTGCTTGAAATCTCAAGGTTCTAGTCACCTCTAGAATATGTCTATGCTTCCTCTCAGCAACTCCATTTTGTTGAGGGGTATATGCACAAGTCTTCTGATGGATAATACCATATTTTTGAAATAGAGCAAGACAGATAGAATTGACAAACTCAGATCTATTATCAGATCTGACTGCCTTGAGGACTTTGTTGAATTGTGTTTGAACAAAGACAATAAACTGAGTCAATACCACACAAACATCAGACTTTAGCCTTAAGAGAAACAACCAGGTCATTCTAGTGAAATCATCAATCACAGTTAGAAAGTATCTATGACCATCAATTGTTGCATGTTTATAAGGACCCCAGACATCAACATGAATGAGGTCAAAAGTAGCAGTACTTTTAATACAACTATTAGGAAAGGGCAGTCTAGTCTGCCTAGCATATGGACACACAGTGCATTTATTGATGATATCAGTAATAGTTGCTAATTTGGTAAGAAACAGTTTATTAAAAACTGTACTAAACACATGTCCTAATCTTTTGTGTCACAAGTTAACATCCATAGTAGAGTTCCTCCTGTGTGTCTTTATTCCAGCTGTAGCCAATAAAATGGTAGTGAGTCTCTTGGAACCATGCCTCTGCAGAAAGTACAGGCCATCTCTCTCCCTACCAATCTCCCTCACCCTGCCACTGAAGAGATCCTGAAATACACAGAAATCAGGGTAGAAAGAAGCAAAACATTTTAGGTCTCTTGTCACTTTTGAAACAGACAACAGGTTGAATTTGAACTGAGGCACATAGAAAACTTCTTTAATGACATTGTTGTTTGAAATGTGACTGTCTCCAATATGTGTGACTTGAATAACATCTCCATTAGGTAGTAGCACCTGTTTGGGCTCACTAGGAGCAGTTAGGGAGGTTTTGGTTAGCATATTAATGTCTAAAACCATGTGGTTTGTGGCTCCAGTATCAACGATCCATTCTTGCAGGCTTGGTGATGAAGCCAAGAGAGCAATGAGAGTACTTGCTGCATTTGCCTGGGAAGTGGAAGATGAAGTGCCATTATGATTACTGTTTAGGATCTGCATAATTTGTTCATATTGTTCTTTGGTGAATGGGAAAGCACCTCTTTAAGCTGTTGGCTGGGTGTTTGTAACATTTTTGGCCTGTGAAGTAGAAGAACCACCCTGAATTTGAGCACTGGCACTTCCTTGTACCTGATAATTTCCAGCACCCCGACTCATAGCCTGATAATGACTATAGTTTGCAGGTAGAGACTGCAATAGAGCACACTGAGAAGCATTTTCAGCATATAGAGGCATAGAGTAACCAGGTTCTACCATGACATTGTGTGCACTAGCTCCCCCTTTCTTCTTAGGGTTATAATCAGTTGGATAACCTATAATTTTGTAACAATTTTCCTTACTATGACCTTTCATTTTGCAGAAGTCACACTGAACATTGTAGTTCTTTCTAACCCTTGAGTTAGAATTGGACTTAGCACTATAAAATGTTGTTGATTCATAGGTATTAGAGTTCACAATAGGAGGGGGACTTAATACACTAGCTGATGCAGCTACAGCTTGTTGGATCTCATCACTCATAAGCATGGAATAAACTTGATTCACTATAGGTAAGGGCTTCATCATAAGGATTTGACTACGAGCTTGCGAGTAGGAGTCATTCAATCCCATTAAAAACTGATATACCTTTTGTTTTCGTAGATGCTCAATAAACTCCCTTGTCTTTGCACAATCACAACCAGATGTAGGTATTATAGACTCACATTCATCCCAGAGATCTTTAAGTTTTGAGTAGTAAACAGAAATAGAAGATGTACCTTGGCACAAAGTGGTTGTTTCTTTGTGTAAATTGTAGCAGCGAGTGTCGTTTACCTTATCAAATATCTCTTGTAGATCTAGCCATACCTTTTGTGCATTAGTGGCGTAAGCTATGCCACTAATTAGTGACGGAGCAATAAAATTCATCAACCACGATAGTATAATAGCATTACACCTTTCCCACTGGTACCAATACTTATCACGAAACCTCTCCTTTGGCCATCTGCCATCAACAATTCCCAGCTTATTACGACCTAATAAGGCAATTCGCATAGATCTATACCACAAGGAGTAATTATAAGTTCCAGTTAACTAAAATGAGATCAAGGAAATGCCGCTAGTATCACCAGGCGCCAGATATAGAGGATGAGTCACTACGATTGTAACTCCTTCCTCGAACTCATCGTACGATGATGCATGTGATGTAGTCTCAGCAGTGACAGTTGCATTCTCATCATCAATCGCCATTATTGAGATATTCAAGGTTTTGCCTCAGATCTGGAAACAATTGAGATCACAATTGACTCAAAAATACAGAAAATTAATTGAATGAAGAACAGAGAAAAGATTTTGGATCGATTTTGAGCTTCGATTCAGAGCTCAAAGCTCTGATACCATGATAAGAATGGACATTGGGCCTAACTCAACCCCAAAAGCTAGCTTATGAGGTGAGAATTGCCCAAGCCATATAAGGAGACCAATGACCTCAAATCCCTCCGATGTGGGACAACTCAACACCCCATTCACGCCCAGGCCTCTGGAGCGTGGACAACATAAATAGGGGCCCAACATCGGTAACAATAATTGGGATGGTCCTGGCTCTAATACCATGCTAAACTTTATGGAGATACTGCTATAAGAGAGCTTAGCTGAAGGAAGAGAGGATATAAGAGAGAAGAAGAAAAGGAGCAGAGAAGACACAGGAAATGAATGGAACAGTAACTGCTTCTTTGTTCAAGCTTTAAGAGCTGTACAGAGGTGTATATATATACACGTAGGTTAACAACCTAAATACTCAACTAAATCTAACTAAGTATAAATAGACTAAACTACCCCTCACGCTTAAGTCACTCCTCTTTCCTCAACAAATAGGTAATATAGTATTTTTTCAATTATATATATGTACTTGTTTGATTTTGAAGTCTTAAACAGGAATCTAAAGCATTACTACCTTTCTAATGGTTTTAATTATATTCCATCATACCACCTTACCCAATTTTAAGTTTTCACAATTTTATCTCACAATAGATCCTCTTCTCTTCTTTCTTCTTCCACTATATAATCACGGCTTAGGAAGCTCACAAAAGAATTTAAAAAGAAAATCCATTATTATTCCTTTCCTAAAGAACCATGTTACTACGTTTACCTAATACAATGCCTTCAAATTACTAATTACAGACTTTTCTCTGTTTTACCAAAAAAATGTTAAGCTTTTTGCTAAACTAATTAATAAAGAGGATAAATCTTATCCAAGGATAATTAACTCTAAATTTAAGCACATTAAATAAGAGAATAAGATATAATCAAGCTTATAAACTTTCTGGGATCATAGTAGATATCGAATATAGATGATAGACTTACATTCTTGACATGTTATCCCGTGATGTAATGATATAGACGAAAAGATGGAATGCCATCGACAGTAACGAGTTCTATCTTTGTTGATTCAATGATCACGATTACAGAGATTTGTATTCACTATCTAAACATTTTCTTGGTTTTCTTCAACCCCTTCTCTCTCTAGGAGAGGAAGCCCCCCTTTTTTCTTGTATTCTTACCTCCTATATATATTATCAGTATTCCCTTTTGTCCAATGGTTTTTAGCCAGAATGCCTTCATCCCTTGATTGTACTTTACGTCGCTTCCCTTAAGTATCACGACATTTACTTTGTCGTACAAGCTTTCTGATGGCTCGATCTCGGCAGTGGCCGAGATACTCGTCGTTATTACGCCTTGTGGGTATGACCACAACTTAGTCGAACTCTTACCATTCCTTTTAGCACTAATCTACGTGTGGTCGACTTCTAGTTTGCCAATTTGGGCGAGATGAGTTTTGACTTGTATATTCGAGCGAGGTCAAATTTAATTCGCCGACTTGGGTGGAATCAGTTTGACTTATATATTCGAGTGAGGTCAAACTTTCCTTTACTCGGCGACGACCAATGGCCGTAAGGGTGTGAATTCGAGCAAGGTCGAAATTGTAACCCGTTGAAAGTTTGAGCAAGGTTGAACTTTCCTTTAATTTGGCGATGGCCGATGGCCGTAAGGGTGTGAATTCGAGCGAAAATTGTAACCCGTTGCAAGTTCGAGTGAGGCCGACTTTCCTTTCATTTGGCGATGGCCGATGGCCGTAAGGGTGTGAATTTGAGCGAGGTCAAAATTGTAACCCGTTGCAAGTTCGAGCGAAGTCGAACTTTCATTTTATTTGGCGATGGCTGATGGCCGTAAGGGTGTGAATTCGAGCGAGGTCGAAATTGAAACCCGTTGCAAGTTCGAGCGCGGTCGAATTTTCCTTTCATTTGGCAATGGTCGATGGCCGTAAGGGTGTGAATTCGAGCGAGGTCGAAATTGTAACCCGTTGCATTACTTTTGTTGGAGAACATTACTCGTTCCCGTATTGTTTATGCGTGCATCAGGGTGAGTCCCGATTTACTTAATTTTGCTTTCATTGGAGAGTACTATGCGTCGGGGTGAGTCCCGGTTTGTTTAATTTTGCTTTCATTGGAGAGTACCGTGCGTCGGGGTGAGTCCTAATTTGTTTAATTTTGCTTTCGTTGCTCGGCCTGGAGAGGCTGTTGGCGAGACACACGATGAACTTATTGCTCGGGTTACTGGTCACTAATCTTTTCAAGCCCATGCTTTGCCGGTGTTGGGGAGACTATACATTTCAT